TAGTCAATCATCTCTGAACCTGGAGGTTCACAAATCCACCTCCGTCTCCGCTTCGGAAGCTCTGTTCTCAAAAATGGTATGGGTATTCAAAAAAAGGTCATTTCAGGGATGACTGGCCCCCTTGCAATAATAGTAAAATAGTGTGCTCCAATACAACTTCTGAATATTCAAAACCCAAGCACCCAAGCATCCAATCTAGTTTTTTCATTAGTGGGGGAGGGGTCGTGGGGGTCGTACAGAGACCATTTGGTGGGGGGGGGCTCTGCTACGGAGATATCTCACGAGGGTATGGGTATCAAGCGCCTGCCTGTACTCGAGTTGTTCCCAAAACGAGATACCACGCCAATTCCACAAAACAAGGACATGATCTGCACAAAAGGAACCTCAGGCTTTGAAAAGTCTGATAAATTCTAGTCGAGCAGCAGCCAGCAGTCGTATCGCCTTCTGTTCCCACCGTGAAAACTGCTCCCGTCTCTAGTGATGGTCGATTCGGTAAATTCGCGCCCATACGGTCATGCAAGGAACCTTTTGTTGGTAAGAGGGCAGTCGTACTCATGGCATCCCTGAACGTGTCCTAGACCCTTGCTGAAAAAAGGATTCTGTACGATCCCCATTCAGTGAACCATCGAAGGTGCATGAAGACCAGCGAATTCACAAATTCCGTCATCGAGTAAAAAAAAACAGTCGCATCCAATGAACAAAACCACTTATGTAGGACGATTAAAAACAAGCGCAAGCGTCGAGATTGTGGACCAGAACATTTGTGAAAGGAAACGAATCACGAAACTTAATAGGTATCACTAGTTAGAAAGCGAACAACAAAATGAAGGAACGGAAAAGGACACAAGTTTTCGAATGAGCTTTGAGGTACTGAATAATCAAAAAATGTTTAACGGCTGCCTTGCTTGCATCGAATCGGAGCAGATTATCCGAGAACCAGTTCCAAAAGATTCTTTCCCAAGCATCTATAAGTATCCTACACGTGAGCCTTCAAAGAGCAGGAACACAACTGTCGAAGATTAGACTTGTACTCCCCAAAAAGTACAAGAATAACCATGAACGGTTTCTATCTCAAGGCACAGGCATCGTTGGCATCACCTCCAAGAAATCGCATCATCAATCCAAGAAATATCCGCTCGAAAGACTTCTACGAGAAAATCTTTAGCTTCTCGAAAATGTCGAGAGTAGAAGTCTTTCAAGCAGATATTTAGTACCAAGATCAAATGGCGACGATGCGGACTTATTTGGAGACCGAGGTATGTTTTAGGAGCTTTTCGCATTTCGCAAACTTGAGCAAAGTTCGTTGACACACTCACATTTTCACCACCATCGAGTTTTGTAGGGACGATGCCAGTCGGCGAAAGCGTAGTTCATTAACTTCTAAAAGGAAGCGCCAGAAAATGCATTGATTTAGTCACGACGATGTTTTCTACAGTTACAGTCGGCTATTACTGTAACCTCTCATTCTAGGAAATAGAGTCGTCTTCGCTGAATCTAATGCTGAGTGTTGCCACTATTTGACCAACCGTTAAAAGCTGGAAAGGGTTTTCTCATAGTGAAACCACGTTTCGTTACTGCCTGAAAACACAGAAACCGCAAATAATGAAGTACACGCACGGTATGTCAACATACTCCTACTGATGTGTTTAAAAGGCCCTAACATACGACGGCTCTTCATCCGACATCCCTTGTCCAGTCGCATCCTCGCTCCGGCTCCGTCCAAGCACCCTTCAATGTTGAAGCTGATCGTTCTTGCCATTGCTCTCTTTGTAGTGCGTTCCGCTGCGCAGGAAGAGGATTGCAAGTCTGGTGGTTTGGAATTCTACCCATGCCAAGAATATAAGCTCAGATCTTCAAGAAGCACTTGAAACTCAAGCGCATGTTAAACTGGTACGTATTCCAAAAAATTCCCCTCCGTAGGACATTTGATGTGCAATTCGACGGCGACGAGCAATCAACATGGTATACCGCCGTCCTTTACAGATCAGGTATAGTGCTAAGGTATAGGCGCGATTAGGGCACGTTCACCTTGGCAACTTACCTCCAAACTTTTTCTTGAACACTGACCATCTATGAGAAATTGATGTTCTGTGGCGACGCCGAGCGACGAGGAAGGTATACAGTGCGTGAAACAAAAGTATTCAAAAATCCTTCCCAAGCCAAATACTCTCCTCTCTTTCAGCGACCAAATACGACTTGGGGATCCCCAGTATAGCGTGTCCAGTAAGCAATAGATTATCATACTTCGCTAACCGTTTTCTTGGAAGAAGTCCCTCCAAGAAGAAGTATCAGAGGAAGATATTCTGTGAACCTGACATTTTAGGGCAACGGACGTCAATTCTTCAAGGTGACTGGGGACGGAGGTGAAGGATGGAAATTCGCTAATATAAATAAGACCGAATACGATGAAATGTACCGTAAATGTGTGCCGGTTCTTATTGACTAGCCAGCGACAAGTGTCCGGTAATACTTGTGAATAAATTGTTGCAAGCACACGCTTTCTGTCACAAAAAGCAAGTCTCGCAGTTAAGCGTAGCAATTACTCGAATAATGAAGAATAGCAAGTGCCCCGCGTAGAAAGGTACCAGAGAATGATAAAATCAGTCATGTCAGGATCGTGACTATCAGCGCTAAAAGGGTACTCATAGGTGCGTGTTACGTTCAGCACAATGCTGTAACAAATCCAGTCCATTTAGCACGTGTTGAATTCCGCTGATAGGCTCATTCGTCATTTCTATCAACGGGAAAAATGGAAGGATCAAGATCTGCAGCTCCTTACATTGTGCTTGTTATTGCTTGAGCATTTCTAAATTGACTCCTGATGGTATTTAATTGATTGTATTGCTTTCACACGCTCATTACGCGCAAATTTCCTATAAATCACCAGTCGGCTCGCCGGCTGACGCCGGCGCGCCTC